CACAAATGAACCACACTCAATATGGGTTAGTAGAGAATGAAGAGTTGTGCCTTACTCAACAGTCTAGCAGCCTCACAGATATTGTTGTTCCACTGAATACTAAGGTAGTGATTTCAAAGTCACTACAAAAGAATCATGCACTGAATGAGATTGTTGGAAAGGATGAGTTATTTCTCAGCCCATCTGGAGTCGTTCTGCGAATTGCTGGGAATGATCTTATTCCAGCAATGTTAGGCACGCTACTGTTCCAGCAGGCTACAAAAGACTTGAGACTAAGCTCACTGCCCCTATAAAAGTACAGAGGGTTTTTTTATCAGGGGACATCACAAGAGAGATGCCACCTCTCTGTGATTGAGGAAAACTGCCTGCTTAAAACACTTCCCTATGATAATAGAAAAGCTCCACAGGAATTCCAAGAGATAGTATCAGAAGTAACAGGGGAAAATAAATTCCTACTTATTTAAGGGCAAACAATGAGAGAATCTTCTCAAGATTTGTCACAAGAGACAGAAAGGAAGGAGGAAGTAAGTAAGGAAATAGAAGAAGAAGAAGGGGAAGAAGGGGAAGAAGGGGAAGAGCAAAGTCCAAAACAAATTGAATTAGTCCCAACCAACAAGAGGCAAAAACTCAGGTTTCGGTTGATTCAAGGCCAAGGGGATATCCCTCCATCAAAAATAGGTGTTGTCATATTGTCGGTGAGACACAAAGGGGGCATTTGGCAAGTTGGACTATCTGAACCTCAAGGAGTAGAATATGGGGAAGTAACAGTGCATGGGACTAAACCTGAGTTTTTGTCTCTTGTCTCTCTGACAGGGGGAATAGCGAGGAAATCTTGGATAAAAGTAGAAATACTAAAATTTATTAAAGAAAATTTCCCTCCAGGTGGTGTAGCTATCCTAACTCTAACTATTGAAGATCAAAGGATAGATGAGAGAGACGTGTACTTAGAATACGAAGGAACTAGACAAGAAGGTTTGAAATAGTTTGGTCAAGAAACACTAAAAGACATTCAAGTACTCAAAATCAAGGCAGGATTGTTCTGGTCAGAGGAAGATGTAGGGATCCTCCGAGCAAGATTGTTGAAGCATGGAATCATGGAAAAAGGAGGGGTACTTGATTTTGGTCCCTGGAAAAACTTAGAAAATACTATTTCCTAGCAATACTACAATTATCCATTGAGACTCTCTGAATCCACCAAAATTGAAGGATTAAAATTATCGACGCTTTGTATAATAAAGACAAGGGATGAAAATTGTTAAGAAGACAGGCGGATTTAGACCTCAAATCCCTAAATGTTGATGGTCTTGCATCAGCAAAAGCAAACAAAAGACAAACGATCTACGACCAATTAAAAGGGATTGACGATAAAGAGTGGTCGAATGTAATATGCATCCAGGAAACACACTTGATGGACACACACATGCATAATTACATACACGATAAGATATGGTCTCACCAATCTTATAGGGCTCATGCTATTTCTCCTGGGAGATTACATACAGAGTGAAAGACTTGGAACACGGTAGGTGGGTATATGTACTAGCCATGCTAGAACTAGAGATCGTGGGAATTCTATGTGTGTATGGACCTAATGAGGTAGGGTAAAGACAAGTTTTTTTTGAAAACATATTCCCACGCCTACCAGTAGGCCTTCCCTTGATCATTGCGGGGGATTTCAACGCTGCCCCGGATAGAGACCTAGATAGGTGGCGCCCCCCTTCCCCCTGTCCAACCTACATGACAACGGATGAGAGGATAATGACTAACTTATGCCAATCCCTCAATCTTTTCGACTTTTATAGGAGGTTAAATCCAACGCTCAAAACATTCACCTGCTTCAGAAAGGGTACATCCCATCATAATTTTAAATCTCGTATTGATCTGATTCTGGTGGTCGGAGAACTACAAGGGAAAGGATTTTCCAATTAGCAGAGATTTTCCCAAAAAGTTCTTTCCCAGGACCGGATCATGCTATGTGTGCGGAGATTTTGTCCTTCAGGAAGAAACCAGACAAAAGGAAAAAATTATATCATCTCAACACATCCCTCCTCAACATGGACTGTTTTCTAAACTATCTTCAAGATGTGTGAAATTTTTGGAGAGAGCAGAGAGATCGCCTCAACGATTACATTAAATGGTTCAACAACGGTCTAGTTTTTTTAGGTCATAAATGTAATGAGTATTCTCGATTACTGGCAAAACAAAAACATGCTAAAGAAACCCTCATCTACAATAGAATTCGTAAGTTGCAAAACCTAGAGATAGACTCAGAAGAACACGAATCCTTAGAACCAATAACTCAAAAACTACAACTCTTAGAAACTCAATTAGTGGCTGAAATGGAATATCGATGGCAGGGTCTAAGAATTAGGGGTAAACTCAAAATTCAGAGTATGGAAGGAAAAATGGATGCACGTTTCTTTGCAATGGCTAGAGCAAGAATAGGTAGAACAATCATTGAAGCTCTAGAAAACCCGGTGGATCACAATAGGAATATGGTCACTTCGACGGCAACATGCACTAAAATAGCCAGGGATTTTTTTAAATCACTTTTTTCATCACAAAATAAACAAATCCTAAAGGAGCAACAAGCTATAGAAATCAAAGATTTTCTTCAACCATTAAATAAAATTTATCAGAGGAGCAAAAGGAGATGATGGAGAAACCTCTAGCTAAGGAGGAAATATGGAAAGCCCTATTACTAATGGAAGAAGATAAGTCTCCAGGCATAGATGGTCTTCCCAAAGAATTATGGGAAGCAATATGGGATTATATTTCAGGGATCTAATGGATTATTATCACGAGGTATAGTAAAGGTAAATGTGAAACTCCTTCAATACGAAGGTGACAGCAAATAGCAGCGCAACCACCCAACATGCAGTAAATGCGAAGGTATGGAAGAGAGGAACGACAATCATGGAAACAGGAGAGAGAAAAAGGGAACAAGATAAGAGAGGAAGGAAATAGAACAAGTCATGTCTCCCGAACGCGACCGTGAAGGGTCAAATAATAATTCGAACTCGAAAAACAGTAACCCAGCAGGTCAACAACATCATGCAAAGATAGCAAGGAGTGACTCTCGTCAGCATCCTGCTTAAAAAAACCCAGTTGGTGCGTCAGCGCGACCCTACACCGCGTTTCGAACGTTCGCCAATCGGTCTCGTCAGGGGTCAACCTCTGAGTTTCTTCTTCTAGATGCCAACCATATGCGTGTCAAAGTCAGTGATGTTCACTTGCTTGGTGACATTAAAACAAGCACCGATAATCTCCTTAGAAATCTTTTCGTTAAACTCTCGTGCATTCGTCTTGCAATAACGCAACAGAGGGTTGAAGGCAACCACCAATTGCCTCTTCAACGTTCGTTCCTAGCACTCCTTCGTGGGATATGGAATATTTTTTGCGTTCCTCAAACAATCAAGCACAAAGTTAGCCGTACCAGCTCTGAAACACACGTGCTCATCCACTCTCGGGAACTCGCTATCCACCTTTTCACAGTGGCATTCCACAACATTCTCCCTTGCCACAACTCTAAAGTTGTACAAGAAGTCGCCAATACTCAGATTATTTTGCCATACTATACGCATCCTCCTCACCAGCATCCATTTCCATACCAATAGTAACTGCAATTGATTCACCAAACCCGCACACAGTTTCCAGATTGCCACCTTGCTAAGGGTCTCGTCAAAGGTGATCCTCACCGTCAACCGCTCCCGCACATTGATGTCGAATCTCCTACGAATTACTCCAAATAAAATGCAGCGAAGAGAGTATCTTGTTCTTTTTTCCGAAAAAATGCAGACTACACTAAACATCCAAATCAGACATTCCAAATCCCAAGTCGACATCTCCTTTCTCGTCGGAGCGCAGCTCAAAAATCTAAACAGCACGGGTTTAAACGATTGAAGAAAGGAGCAAAAAGAAATGATGGAAACGAATTTAATGCACATGCCCACCTTTAACCACTCTTTAGCCTTACGAAGCTAAGTCATTCCGTGGACGGTACTGATCTCCGATGTTCCGAAGCATCGCTTGACGAGTTTCCAATGGTTTGATAGCAACCACCCCCCCTGACACTCTATCTCGACCGTAGTCTAACCCTTATCTCGACATCGACCTAGGATCCGAAACAAACTCAGCGAACTGGTCCCATCCTGAGTCTTAAAAGTCATATGCGTACTAAGCTCCAAACCCTTCTTCTTGTCCCGCTGTGCAGCTCTACACCTCTCCCTCTTTCCTGGCCTCGACTTCCTATACTTTCTCGGCCGATCCCGACTACTCAAGTAAGGACAGACAAGTCGAATAATAAACCGTTCCAAATCAAACAAGTTTTCTTTAGCGCACGTGCTTCTCAACCATTTATACAACCGCTCATTCCTTCTCCCCACTTCCACAATATTATTGTTCCTTACCCGAAAGATGTGTTCTTTCCACCTAACGTCAAGCGATCTCTTGGTAGCCCCCACATAGATGTGTTTAACCCATGGTGAAACCAATACGTAGACTAGAGGACCTTCGCAAACAGACAGATCAGACAACGTGTGCCAATCATTCAGATATCCTCGAAGTTTGTCTGCCCAAGGAACTTCCCCACTCACAAAGAGAGATAAGACAGCGTGCCTATAACGACTTTCCTTCTCACCATAACGCAAACCATCTCTAAGAGTCGCCCTATACTTACAAACAGCCTCCCAATTCGCGGTCATGTTCGGGACGTGTCCTCAGGCAGAATCTGATGGCCTGTCCACGTGCTCTTCACAGGCCTCCCTCCCTCCTTGGTTAGACGACGGTTCTCCAGAACCGCCTTCACTAATTTCGCCCACCTCCTTGTTGACACGTTGCTTGCCGAATCACACGTTTGCCCGGATTTCGCGATCTCGTCAGCCGTGGGTTCGATCGTCTTGCAGGTAATACCTTCATCCTGACAGAGCGCCTCTAGACCCGACTTCCTGAAACCCCGCAATCTTTTTTTCTCCATCTGCAGAAAGTTGAATCTATCGTTATCGTCGAGTATATCTTTATTGGCCTGCCGTACAGGCGTAGCTTTCGGCCTGCCTTTCCTTGCCGTCCTCGGGACACTGCCAGCTGCCAGCTCCAGCCGATCCTTCAAGTTGGTACCTCTCGTCGCCATGCTTGCTGGCCCGGTTGATAACTTCTCAACCTGCTCCCGTAACTAGGCAACCTCATCCTCGGCTTCCTTTTTCTTTGCTTCCGCCTCTAGCCGCCTTTCCTCCGCATCTGCCCTTCTCTTCTTCAGAGCTTCGACCTCACGCAGAGTGCAATATTCCATATCCTTCATCTTCCTTAGCTCCTCCCGTATCATGGAAGGCGACTCCATTACTCGTAGCGTTGAGCGCTGCCTGTCATCACCTTCCGGTGTCGAGATGACAATGTTGCCCCGTTTGTTGCCTGGCCGTAAAACCTCGTTCATCCATAGCCTGGTTTCTTCCACAGATTGCTCTTTCTCTTTTCGTAACGATCCAATCTCAGCTCTTAAATTGATCAAAATTTCCTTGTCCGCCTTCCTACTAGCTCGAAGATCTCGCAATTCCTTCATCACCGTACCCATTCCATTCTCCGTCGGGTTCCGCGGCTATGCGCCTCAGCTCTTCGTTCTCCCTTAACAGTCTGTCAGTTAAACCTTCATTACTTGAATTTTGTTTCTCCAATTTCTTATAAAATTCCTCGTTCTCTCTTCTTAGACTCACCAGAGCCTCACTCTCGACGTTCTTCACGCTAGAGGTATGAGCCTCAGGAGAAATGGGGGAATTCGTTGGACAAGGAGTTCTTACACTACTATCTAAAAAAGGGGATAATATATGGAACTATTGCCCGATAACCCTTCTCACAGTGGTTTATAAGCTAATAGCTAAAGCACAAGCAAATCGTATGTCCACTGTAATTCCATAAATTATTCATCCATCTCAAACAGAGTTCATAAATGGTAGAAACATTCAGGATAATATCCTTCTGGTAAATGAATTTCTGAAAAATTCTCGCCAGTCTAAACACAACGCTGCCTTTATCTTCATAGATTTTGAGAAGGCATATGATCATGTGGATTTTTTTTTTTTGGATAAATGTTTGGAAAAAATTAATTTTGGTCCCAACTTTAGAAAATGGGTGAAAATTTTGCACCAAAATGCTACAACGAGGGTTATGGTCAATAATAATTTGGGCCCCCCCATTCCATTAGAAAGATCATTCAGACAAGGGTATCCCTTGGCACCTTTTCTTTTTGTCATTATCATGGAGGCACTAGCAGCAAATTTGAGATAACACAAAGATATTCGACGAATACAATTCACTATTATTCCGAAAGAGGCTATTCCAGTCTGTTCCCTTTTTGCTGATGACCTATCTATAATGATTGATGCTACCAAGGAAAACATGACAGAAGTTCAAGATGATGGACAAATTTTGTCGCCTCTCAGATATGAAAGTTAACTGGGAAAACAAAACAGCTTGATGGTGGATAGCGAGGGAGGCCACCAGAACTACCAAGGATAAAGTGGCTATCCCTGGATATTTCCATCAGATGATCAGAGTGCTAGGGATCTCACTATCAGCGGAAGGTAAACCAAAGATCCATAATGAATGAATCTCCCTACCAGCTCAATCTAAATCGGAAATATGGAAGAATAAATATACCTCAATTTTTGGCCGATTAATGATAATAAACAATGTAATCCTAGCATCTATTTGGTATAAATCAGCGATCTGGGCTTTGGATAAAGCCTCCCTCAAATCTCTTCAATGATAATYAACTGCGTTCTTATGGAGAGGTAATCATGAATACAATAATGTTATCACCAGGGTAGCATGGCAATCCATTATTCAACCAAAAGTAGGAGGGGGATTGGGAATCCTGGATCCTCTAACCCAGTCAAGGGCACTTTCGATCCAATGGATCGAACGATTATTGTTTAACCTTCAAACCCCATGGACACCTTTGACCTTGGAGCAAATCAAGCGCCTGACACCCTCCACGTCTGACG